CGGTCGTACAGAACCTTGTTGGAGTCTGGGTAGAGCGCAGACGACAGAGAGCCGAGGCTGACATTTCGGCCACCGAAAACAAGGATGAACTGGTCATTGAGAGATTACAAAAGGAGGTACAGGAGGAATTGAAGCTGGATTACATCGTCACGGGTTCCTGGTCGTTGAAGGCAGCGCAGGAGGCTACCCGTCTGGTGGGTGCCAAATATGTGAACATTGCGCTGGATGCCAGAACCGCGAACAATGGGAAGTTTGGCAAGATCCCTGCAGAGGAGACCTGGTCTCTCTCGCCCAGCAGGAACTCGGCCTTTGTTTACTTCTGTGATAATGAGACAGTGGACGGCGTGGAGTTCCCCAACTTCCCAAAGATCCTGGAGTCGGACGACCGAATTGTCGTCGCAGACATGAGCTCCAACTTCCTCAGCCGAAAGGTTGATGTCAGCAAGTATTCTGTGATCTTCGTACGTATAATTCCTGTGATGAGGTTTCGTTTTCGAGTCTCCGAGCTAACGGACAGCAGGGTGGTGCCCAGAAAAACATTGGTATCGCTGGTATTTCCATCGTCATCATCAAAAAGTCGCTCTTGCCTCCTCAGGCCCCTACACCAGCACCGGCTCTTCTTCATCGGTTGAACATTGGCGGATTACCGGGGTCCGTCGTACTTGACTACGCGACCATCGCGAAGAATAACTCCCTGTACAACACACTCCCCATCTTCAACCTGTGGATTGCGGGTCAGGTCATGGCCGAACTCGTTCAGACCCACGGTGTGCAGAAGATCAGCGGCCAGGAGCAGATCTCCAACCGCAAGGCCGAGATCCTCTACAGTGTTTTGGACAAGTACCCTCAGGTCTACCACGTTGTTCCAGACAAGAGTGTCCGGAGCCGTATGAACCTTTGTTTCCGCGTCTACGGCGGCGATGCCGAGAAGGAGAAGGAGTTCCTGGCTGGAGCTGAGAAGCGCCTACTCCAAGGGTTGAAGGGACACCGCAGTGTTGGCGGTATCCGGGCCAGCAACTACAATGCAGTTCCCTTGGAGAACGTTGAGAAGCTGGCTAAGTACCTCGATGACTACGCTACCGGCAATGTTTAAATGGTCGATCCGAGGGCTATGATTCCATTTCTTAACCTGTAAAAGTCTTTCTTGTTTCGTACGGAGTTAACCTCGACTACCCAGCTTTATTCAACATAGTGCCGAATTTATATATATACAATTACTTACACAGGAACATTTAGAATGTTACATATTGTAAATGTACATAGACGGGATGGTGGACTCTCAAAGCTTCCAAACCGCCCAATCTTTCAGGTCGAGTTCCTTGATAACTCCGTTAAGTGGACCTTGGAGTTCCATCCCCTGTGCCCACAGCTTTGGTCCTGCCATATAGCTGATGAAGCCTTCCGGTCCTGACACAAGGATCATTTTACCGCCAGGAGACCCATTGGAGGAGGCGGAATCGGTGAATCTCGTGATGAATTTCTTCTCAATGAATGAACTCTCTTCGTCCACAAAATAGTCAACCGTAACTTGGCCCGGATATCGAGCTTTGAGAGCCTCAAGCTCGCGGACCATGAGCGAAGTGGCTGCCGGGTCCTGTGTAGGACCGACTGGCGGAGGACTGCTGGGTTTTGATGACCCGAACAGACCTGAAAACCAGGATCTTTGCTGCGCTTTGTCTATTGCCGAAGTATCGTTGCAACCTCCCAGGCAGTCATCCCGTCTCCGGTTCGCCCAGAGAATGTGAAGCCTCGGCTTGTAGTCCGCGTCTGTCCGGCGTAGAAGCGTATGCCCAGCCTGCAAAGCAGGAGCAATTCCAGTACCGCCCGCGATAAAGAGAATCTGCCGAGTATCTGAGGGGATTTCACATTCGATTCGAGGTCCGCGTACTTCAATAGCTGATCCTACATCAAGAGAATGCAGATACCGCGATACCTCCCCAAACGGGTCTTTCCGAATGAAGAACCGGAGGCACCCTTCTTCGTGCCCATCTTCTGCCTTTAGTGATAATGGTGGTAGGGGTGTATAGTCTCTTCCGATTTGCAATTGCGGTTGCTTGAACATAACGCTCCATACGCCCGTCTTCCATGCATCTTCGTAGACTTCGCGATTGCCGTCGGGTTTGGGTGGTTTCAGAGTGAAGATGCTGCCGCTCGACGATACCGGTTCCCTTGCGACAAGACGATATTTGGTAAAGGTGACTGGATTCAGGATGGCCGACTCTGAGCCTTGTTGCGATCTAACGTAGGCTCCGATGCCTGCCGCGGTTGCAGTGACAATGGTCAATCGAAGCCATAGACGCTTTTTCGGCGGAGTAGGTGCGGAGGTTGTAGATAATGAAGGCGCGGTATAACGACGAGAAGTTACTCTCTTGATAATGGTAGAAGGCGGGTTGAACAAAAGTCCCCCTGACCTTGGTAGTCGGGATCTCATGAGGTTGCCTCTCAACGAAAGAGCACGTGTGATAAATGTGTACCGTCGAGTCTTTTGTCGTGATCTTCATCTTCAAGCTTAATTGGAGACCCTTTTTGTCCTGGCGCTAAACTCGATCGGGCATCAATGAAGAACCCCTTGGCGACGATCATCTTTATTTTCTCATCTCCCACTCTCAGCACTACGGGGTAGAGCATCTGAATCTCTTGCTGCTGTTGTATTACCATATGATATCGCCGTCGGTCGGATAGACCCCGCCATTGTCGTCTGTGCAACAGCCCTCCGCCTTCTGTTGGGATGGAGAGAGATCCTCGTCCGCTCTTGTTGACGACCTGTTTGAATAACCACAATTGATACATGAATGCCTTTACAGCTACCGGCTCGAAGAAATGTCCCATATTACCTTTTCGCAAACGGATACCAGATCGGACAACCTCCATGCCCCTCGTGATTCTCTAGAACTTGCATCACTTGCGTCTTCCTCCCCGGAATCTGCGGGCAGGTCCTCAGCCTCATCCTCGCCCTCGGGCATTTCCTCCTCACGCAAGCTCTCCCTCGAGGACGAGGATCCCCTATCGAACTCACATGCGCACACAAATCTTGAGTCTGGGCGAGCGAGGTCGGCCCGATCGTACTCCATCTCCTCTGCTTTCGATTTCGGCAATGCCCTCTTTCCACTATCGCAAACCGCCGGGGGGTATGCTCCCTTAGGGGCTCCCTCCGCACTTGACCGACAAGGCGGGACCGACGGCTCGTTAGAACGAAATAAAACATTGACATACTTGAACGGTCTGTCGTTGGTGGTCGGGATCGTCATCGGATCTGGGATCTTTTCGTCGCCGAGTCAAGTCAATGCCAATGCGGGGTCTCCCGGCGCAGCTCTGATCGCGTGGGTTGTCGCAGGATTGCTGGCATGGACCGGCGCAGCCAGCTATGCAGAATTGGGTGGCGCTATCCCTCTCAATGGTGGAGCCCAGGTCTACCTCTCCAAGATTTTCGGGGAACTGGTTGGATTTCTCTTCACATGGTGTGCTGTTCTGGTGCTGAAACCAGGGAGCGCCGCCATCATCGCGATTATCTTCGGCGAGTATGTCGTTCGAGCAGTGATACATGCGGATGCCGAGACTGTCAGTCCCTGGATCAGTAAGGGTGTCGCATTCGGGGGCATGTTTGTGGTGACCGTGCTGAACTGCATATCGACCCGACTGGCTGCGCGCATAGGGGATTTTTTCATGTTCTTCAAGTTCATTGCATTAATAGGGGTCACGGTCATAGGTATTGTCGTTGCAGTGACTGGGTTCTCTTCGACCGGGAGCGCCAATAAGGAGTGGAAAGAAGGTTGGTTCAAGGGAACAAGTACTGACATCTCCGGCTGGGCCGTTGCAATATACGCCGGTCTGTGGGCTTTTGATGGCTGGGACAACGTAGGCTCTTCCATCCCACATTCTGTCCCCTGTCATTTACTGACCGTAGCCGCAGACAAACTATGTGACCGGCGAGTTTAAAAATCCTAGCCGGGATCTTCCCCGAGTGATTCACACGGCAATGCCGCTGGTAATCTTGTCCTACCTGCTTGCCAACGTTTCGTATTTCCTTGTGCTGCCTCATTCAACCATAGAGGCGAGCAATACCATTGCTGTCCAATTTGGCGACAAGGTGTTTGGCTCCGTGGGGGCGCTTGTTTTCGCCCTGGTGGTGTCTGCGAGCTGTTTTGGGGCCCTCAACGCAACGATCTTTACCAGTGGTCGGCTGGTCTACGCTGCTGGCAAGGAAGGTTACTTGCCCTCGATGTTCGGCAATCTCTGGACTGGTAGATCCAGCACCATGGGAACCAATCGATTGCAGCGCCGCTCGTGGGCTAGCAAGTCCCTGTCCCGGATTTTCGGAGCAACCACTTGCATCGGATATACACCGATTAACGCCATGGCATTAAACAGCGCCTTGACATTGATATATATCATTGGTGGCGAGTTCAAAACTCTGGTTACGTTCTACGGCGTCGCAGGGTACACCTTCTACTTCCTCACGGTCCTAGGCCTGATTGTCCTCCGAATCCGAGAACCGTACCTGGCGCGCCCCTACAAGACCTGGATTTCCACACCAATCATCTTCTGCTGCGTTAGCCTCTTTCTTTTGAGTCGCGCGGTTATCGCCGAGCCACTGCAGACGTTGATCGTGGTGGCCTTCATCATCGCTGGCGTCCCAGTCTACTTCTTTCGCATCTACCAACGTGACGGGAAGATTACGTTTACCGGTTGGAAGTTCTGGCAAGCCAGTCGACGTCGGTAATGCAATGAAATGCGCCGACCTAACCTAGCCTCTAGGCGTATAATGAACATTCCCTTATGAGACGAGTGACGCCCATGCGCATAGCTTGCATGTATGACTACGGCTTTAAAATCTGCAGCATTATTATGCTCGCATCTGGACGATCGAGTGAGTGATTGGCGATTACCGTGATCAGAATGCGGCTACCATGTTTATTTCGACCCCTGTCTTCCTAGTTGCGAGTTTCCTCCCGCGTCTATGTGGGCTTGTCATGAGATACAACGCTAGTCTAGAGATCTATCTAATACTTAATTTCATCACGAATCGCGCTCAGTCCATCCCAAACATCTGCCCTCAGCAGCACAGCAGCAGCAGATGTTGATGGTTTCAGCTGGCTTTCGATTGCCGAGGCGAAGAATTTCAACCCGGTGCAAGCCTGCGAGTGAGGTGTATAGATGCGTGTGGAGATGACCGTTCTGCTATTCACGAATACTTCGAGCACACTTGCATCGAAATAAGCGTGGACGTGAAGCGGTTCCGTCACCTCCTCGCCCTCATTGTTGCAGAAGGTGAAGAGAGTATGCGGAGCGGTCTCGGGGTCGTGATTGATACCGGCATCGTGAGGCGAAGGCCTTTCGATCGTGAACGTCTCGTCGTATGGTTTCCATGATAGGATAGTGCGTTGGTGGAAATCTCCTTGTGCGTCAGCAATTATTGCAACTTTGGGGAGAGAAGAAGAGAGGGAGCTCACCAGGGCTGTGGCCGATTTCCAACCCTACTGCCGCGCAGTGCTTCCCAACCATAAAGGTCGCGTTCAATTCCCACCTAGCAGTGCCCAAGGGCAAGAATGCAGGGGGCTGATTGGCCAAAAAGCCCAGATGTACCTTGGATAAATGCAACTCTCGTGCTGATGTTCGAAGTATGCCGAGCCTGGGGTCCGGCCGGATACTCAATGTTCGAACCCGTGTACTTTGCGAATGGCGCTCTGTTTCGATAGACGTAATGGATTCCAGCTTCGACTGGTGGGCTCGCTTGACATTGTCAAGAGTCACCAGCCTTACTCGTCGCGGTAGAGACATGACGCCACTCCAGCCTTGTCGATGGCGCAGACGATCCGGTAAATCCTCTTCCGTGATCCAGCAGTATACGACGTACTGCTCTGTGACCGGATCCCAGAAAGAGTTTGCGGCGTAGGAGCACCCGTGATCGAAGATCCCGGAGAACGAATATTCTGCGAGAGGCTCGAAAATGCTCTGCGCCTGCAGTCTAGGTCGGGCATTAATACACATCCAGAGCAGGGAGCGCGGTACTCTCTTTGATCCATCCTCGGAAGACAAGCGTCCCTCTGCGCCGAAGATCACGAAATCTCGGGAGACGCCGTCATCAGTCAACGTAAAACAGTTGGCAACTTCCCAGTTGACGCCCAGATCTCCCGACCACCGAGAGGGTCGAAAATTCAAGCCAACGTGAAGTAAAGGCCCGAGGTATGTCCATTCCGCCAGATTGTCGGGATTGACAACGTATACAAATACTGTTGGGGACTCTTTAGCGATACCTCCGGAGATAAATCCATACAAGTTCGGGGAGGCCAGTCCATCTTGTCGCTGGGCCCGCAACGAGGGCCAGCAGTTCAGATAAGGGTCTCTCCAGCCTGTCACCTCGAGTTCTGCAGGGGCGCCGGGGAGAATCGGGTTGCTGTCGAATCGTTGCCATGTCCTGCCATGGTCATGGGAGACTGCTATACTTAGCGATTCACTGCCCTTGACATACGGCAGAGTATAGTGGAGTGGAAGATGATTTACGGACGTGTATACATACGTAAGTACACCCGGCTTGCCATCCGGACCGTGAGGACGGAAGCAGCCAGTGAATACGCCGCATCGATCATACTCCGCAGACGGCGTGAGACATGGTTCAGGGAATATTTTCCAGGACACTAGATCGTTGGAAATGGCATGGCCCCAGGAGATGTTGCCCCAGTCGTTCCCGTGCGGGTTCCATTGGAAGGAAAGATGGTACAGTCCAGTCGCCGGGTCATATCCAAGCCCACAGGGGTCATTCATCCACCCCCGGGGCGCAGCAAGATGATATGACGGTCGCCACTTAGAGTCCACATGAGCTATACCCGTCGCTTGCCGGTTAGTCTTGGCTTTCTGTTCTGGATCGCAATGGACAGGGCGTATTGGCGTTTCACTGTTGCCCAACCCTGCCGCATGCTGGGATCCTGGAGGGATATGCATGTCGGCCGGATTTATAGGACGTAGGCTCTGCAGATCCGGCACAAAACTGGCCTTAGAGAAACCACGTTGTTCGGAACAGAGTTTGACTTTGAGACAGAGTGTAAATAGAGACTAGTCACCCGACATGGATTCGCTGATGCTGTCACAGTCATTAGAGTAGCTGCCATTGCAGTACGCAGGAACTGTCGATCCTGTTTCGAGGCAACGCAGTAGGGAATCTCACCCTCTTTATTCAATACGCAGGCATCTGGGATTGAGATCGACGTTCCTAATTAACAATGAACATGATCCTAGAATGTCGATAAAGGATCATTGACTGTAGAATGTCAATGGATCACGGGGTTATCTCGGAAGGATGCGGAGAGTTGTCGGAGAAATCCTGCTATAGCAGCTGTACTATCCTCTGCGCTTCACCTCATTGCTGTATCCGGCAATATCAAGGAAAATCTTGCGTCCAATGCATCGAGAAGCACGAGCTCTACCTAGACCTAGCTCAGAGGTTTAGACGAAATCAACTGCTCATCCAATGACCGAGTGCTCCAGCAGGCATCAACATTCAGGACTGAGGAGGGTCAGGAGCCATTCAATTCCTACGATTCTGAGAGCTCGGCCGTGTTCAGCGATCTCAATTTGTATCAAGCTTCAATAATAATGAGACGGTAAAACCTAGCGTCCCGCGGTGACAGGTCTGGTCTCCCGTCTCGACCCTCGACCTCCGGCCACCGCATACAGAGTGCACAATACCGGATTTACCCGGACATCATGAACGAGGCCCGGAATGTCATGCAAAGTGCAAACAGGGTGAAGGACTGGGCTGTGAATTGAGCCGAACAGAACGCGTGGAGAGGTGGTGCCGCATTTAGTACCCGACAATGCTGCGAATGTCTTTAGGTATTTTGGCAGGCCCGGAAAAAAGGAATATGTCAGAAGGGGCCCATGTATGTTCCATATGAAACTCGGCGCAATGAGCTGGAGTCCTGTCAACTCTTTCGAGGGCCACTGAAGGTGAATCTCAAGCGAAGACGTTGCTCAAGTTACATTGATCATCCAGCGCAGGTATGGCATGAGTATATTGTCTGTTTCCAAGATGCTGTACATCCCCCCGGGGCAATTCTGCTATGAATATGAGTGCGTAGAATACATGATAAATAATCTCCCGTAAAGAGTCCGACCTGAACCCAGGAAAAATACCGTAACAAAGACGTGCAAGCTCATGAAGTCGGTTCCAGGACCGGGGTCGGCTCTGCTATTATATACAAATGTCATGTCTGTGCCCAGTTGCTGCACCCGACCCCGACGATGTGCAAAGAACTCAGGTAAGCCTTGAATTTTTCCAGAAAGGGGTGATTGCCACCGCGGAGAGTATTCAAAAGCAACATAAAATCCTCGGCTAACGACTGAGTAGAATGCACAGTTGCTGTGGTTGGAGCCATGGCTCCCACCAGGCTTCCAGGAGGCAGGACGCCTGGCCCTGCCATTGAGCCAGCCACCGAAGCCGTAGAATGTTCACCAAGAGGGTGGCGGACATTGGAAGAGATTCCAATTGCACTAACCGCAATGTCGTACAGCTTCTCAACCTACGTGCGCGTGTTAGTAAAGCCAAAAACCAAAATAGATTTTTGTCCAAATGGACTGTACTCACTAGGCCAATTCCATGCGCTTCCATCGAGCTAAGACGCAATGACTGGCATATCTTCAAGGTGTCCACAGCAACCGTGATGGCGTATTCGAAAGACAGCTCCTGGTGGTCGGAAACAGGTCTCAGGAGACCATGAGTGGAGCACAGCACCCACACCCGATTCTGCAGCCATTTCTTCGTGATAAACACATCGGCACACTGTGTCTCCCGCATACTGATTGTCGGTTGGACGCTCTGGGCTTGAACCGGGGCCGACTTGGTGCGTTCAAACCAGTCATAGCCCTTGTATCGCTCGGACTCGCAGACTCTGCTAAGATTTTGATGGATGGACAAGGCCTTCTCCTCGGTGAGATTCTCACAATAGCCTGAATTGACGTTGCAGCGCTGATTCCAACAGTCAATAACCTCTTCGTCAATGGCATCGAACAGCTCCATTAAACGGGCCAGACCCAGCATCCCCTCGGCATCTTTTTCGTTATGAACTATGATACCGGAAACAACGCTGTGTGTTGCATTGTGGATGAAATCATGGACAGAACGCATGCTGAACCCCGGTCTTCCCCAAAAGGTAATGGTATGTCGCCGCTGCAATGCATAGGCTCTTTCAAAGGTTTTTGTTAGCATTCTATCGGTTTGGCACATCTAGCTGGTTGAAGCTCATACCTCTCTGTGATAGACAAGACCAGATAGGTCCGTAATCGTTGGCCTTTTTCGTCGTTTGGTAAATCCCGATATGAGTCAGGGTTGTTCAAGCCCAGCGTCGCTGCAAGGTCTAGAGCCTCTCGGAGTCGAAGCCACGCAGCATTGTGCTGGTTGCTGCCGAAAAGACATCCAAACAGGAAAAAGCTGGTGAGAACCGCCTCGATGGTTGGATGTTCCCCAAAATCAGAGCAGCTCCGCATTTTCGTCGCCTCGTTCATCATTGATCTAGCCTGGCTGGCTCGGGACGAGGAAGTGGGCCGTTCGTCAATCTCGATAGGCTGCGTCAGTGAGAAGGCGCATAAGGATAGTAGCATGGCCCCGAACTGCGGGTTTCTACGATGCTCTTGAGCCAGCATGCGAATGAACAAGGAGGACCTGTTCAATACAGGCAGAGTCGGGTGCAAGCGGTCGAAGTAGACTTCAATCCACGGAATCATGTTGGCCTCGAGGATCGATGACGGCCATGTCGTTCGCATCGGAACGGGGGCGGTTGGCATGACCCCCATGGTAGAAAGAGCCAAGTTTGAGGCGTCCACATGATGAGGGTGCAATCCAGAAGCATCCTGCTCCGGTTGGATGATTGACGGCAGCGACGTCTTTAGGTAGATATTGCTTCCTGGAAACTCGAATACAGGCACCTGCGCATCTAAATTGTCGGGGAGCCAGTACTCAACATCGTTGCGCTCATTCCAACTGATGGCAGAGTTAGTCTGAGAATCTACCGACGAGGTATCTGTAGCGGGCCACGACGGCCCGATCGAGGTGTTTGGACGCGGTGGTACTATGTCCGTGGATACTGAGGCCTCCCCACGCTGAGGGATAGGCCACTGGGTGGGATCTTGCGCTGATGGGGCGATCCCATGCTGCCCCGTCTCCCGAGAGGGAACCGGCCTCTGATACGGGAAAGCGTCTGGAAGAGACGATTGAGAACTCTTACGTAACAGCTGAGTCTGTTGTTGTTGACGAATTTGGGACACACGACTGTTCGGCAAGCATTAAAAAAATGTGCAGATGATTAGAGATGGACGGATTCTCAAATAGAATATCCGAGCAATAACCACGCAATTGGTTCAAAAAACTCACTTGCCAGTTGGCCCCCGCTTTTTCTGGGGCTGTAAGAAGAGGCATTCAAATCCCATCTGGCAACACGCGCGACATGGTTGCGAGAGACTACACTGTATGGTCCTAAGCAGATTAGCATAACAGCCCCCTCGTCGGCAGTAGTTACTCCATAGGGAATAATGATCATCAGGAACGAGGCCAACCGGGGAAATAAGAGGGGTCAGTCAACTTGCTTTTATCTTACGCAGTCGGCAATTATCACAAGCTCTTCGGACCGGCGTTTTCTTCACGGCATTGGCAGGACTCGGGTTCATGGTGGCATATTTGTGAGTGGAGTTTTTTGTGTGGAGCGAAGAGAATAAATGGGGGAGGAGTAAAAGGCAGTCTGTACAACCGGAAGAAAGGGCAAGGTAATTATGAGGAATTATGGTGAGCTCAAGGGAATGAATGATAAATGATTGATCTTCAAGCAAAGCAGAGAGTGGGTTATTTGAATTTGGGGATGAAGAGAGGGTAGAGCGGGTCGTCCGGGGAGGCTGTGAGCGCTGAGGTGAGCACCGTGGTTAGTTAGGTACACACCTTGGATACTCACTCTGCCCCGTCTGCCATCTGATGATCGGATCGAGGCTGTGATCCAGTCCAGACTTTTATCCACGAGGCGGGACTACGGAGTAGGGAGGGAGGGAAAAGGGAGTATGGGTGACCGTTGAATGTCCTGTGGATCGTCCCAGGACTAGACCAAGGTAGTAGTAGGTTCAAAGGTTGATTTGCTCGTCCCCTGGCTTTTTGCTTCTTCTCTGGTCTTCTCTTCCAACGGTTCGGGCAACGGAGGCCATGGAATCGTGGAATTTATTTCCATTCTTGTAATTATTGTCATTTTTACTGGAAGGCTAAATTCTTATCCTCAGCAGGCATGAGCTTAGATACCGGGATGCCTGAAAACCTAACACTTTAGGTGCAAATCGGTGGATTCCTGAGGTATTAAGTGAGACACTATTCTTCCCGATCATCATCATCATCATCATTACTATGTAGTATGATCATCGTCGACATCGTCATCACCAAGTCAAAATGATGATGATTAACATTAATGGATCAAGATCCCTGTGGACAGATTCATACGTTTTCATCGACATACTCCAAAGTCTCCGAACTCTCCAATTGCTCGGCAGTTAGAGGCCCCCCTCTAACTGCCTGTCCCCCCGCGTCTGACCTAGAGCGATCGGGATCCACGAGGCTGCGAGTGCCATTCCCAGTCACGTTCAGAATTTAGAATTTAGAATTTAGAATTTAGATACACACATGTCACAGATACGCCGTTTTAGCTAATTAAGTACGGGGCTTGAAACATGCACTCCGCTATTAAATGCTTCTAGCCCAGCATTTTGATTCTTGATAACAGTGCTGATAACAGTGCTAGATCAAACACAAGATGGGCAGCGTCCAGACCTGGGAGCAAACAGTGGCTGAGAAACGTTCCTTACGAGATCGGGCTCTAGAGCCATATATGACCAGCGATATTGAACAGCGCCCGCCTCGAATTCATAATGTGCATCACCGCACCTGCCTACATGACGATTCTACCATCCAGCAGATT